TATTAAACTGTTGGCCTATGGCAGGGCTTCTTACTGGATAGATCTGACTTAATTGTTAACCCATTTCTATAAATCTCTGTGTTTCCATGTGGTCCTGGCTTACTGCAGAATGTCCAGACTTGTTACTCATTTGCTGGCTACATTGAGTCCTTCTTGAGGTCCCTCTCTGCCTACCCTTCCCAGAATTCTCCTCATCTCCTAGTCCTGCCTATCTTCCTGACTCTATTGGCCAAACAGTGTTTTATTCATCAACCAATAAGAGAAGCATATATACAGAAGGACATCCCCTATCAGTTAACTATTCCTCCAGGATCAGGTTAGATATTACCTTTTTTTGTGCAGTTATTTGTAATACTTACATTCTTAGTATATTAGACCTCTGGAATTTATTACTTTTTACTTTGAAATCTAAATAATCATGTTCTCTGTGCTGAATTATTTATCTATACAATGCCAATGTTTATCATTTCTTCTATTTCTGCTCCATCCTCTTGTCTGTCTATCTGTATCTCTCTCCCTCATTCTACTTATTCTCTGTTACTAAAGATTTTAGAAAGTATTTGGTTTTGTTTCATTTTCTTCCTATTATTAGCTAATATTCCATCATTTTAACCATGAATCATACCTAACTCAGTCAGCATAAAGTTTGTTACTCTTGACAGGAGTTAGCAGGAATAGTCCAGCCCCATTCTACCTGTCTTATCCCCCTGAAACTACAGGACTAACAAAGATGTGTTCTTCTCAAGATAGGAGCAGAGTAAATCAAACCCAAGTGAACAAGCAACCACTAGGCATTTGGACACACGATGCCTGCTAATGTGACATTGACCAAGTCAGTTTGTAGATACAAACTCACCTAGGTGTAAGGGTTCAGGCGGATCGGATGGGACAGATATTCTGGCACTCAGGAGTCACAGAATACTAAGTGTTACACATCTCAGATGGAAAGGTATCCTGGAACTTTGGAGCCAAGGAGTACCGCAGGTCACAGTAAGCATAGCAGCTTACAGCCTAGCCTCAGGGAAAGGCTTCCCCAATGTATCTGCTCTGCTCCGGCAGAAGAGAGTCTTCCAGTTGGGGATCTCTGCCCAGTGTAGCAGTTTTGCTCCGGAAGGAGAAGGTTTCCCAAGCGAAGTTGCTACAGTTCAGCTCTGCTCCCAGGAGAGTGCAGAGTGGAGTGTAACAACTCCACTCTGTCAAGTAAAAGTTTCCGCAGCAAGAGTTACAGCCTCACTCGCTCTGCTCTGCCCAGGGTAGTCTGTGCTATGTCGCAAAAGATCTTCACCCAAAGCTCGTCGAAGGGCTTTATTTGTAGCAGGGGTTTATTAGAAGGAAGCAGCTAGACCTGCCAAGCTGAACATAACACTGGGTTTATATAGGGATTCTTGGGAGCGGGGGAAGTTTTTCCAGGGTAGGGATTGGTCAGATTTTAATGCTGAGCTTATATTAGCTAAAGCTCCTACTTAAAGAGTGGTTAGTTTTCTGCACAGGGTTAGGGTCAGATTTGGCTCTGGTTTCAGGGCCAAAGTGTATGTATTTCTTTGGTCCTTTTAGCCTTTTGGCTCTAGTTTTAGGTGTATTTCTTTCACTGGCTCTGATTCTAGGAACAAAGTGTGTTCCTTTGGCACTGGTTTCAGGGTCAGGGTACATTTATTTGGTTCTGGTTGCAGGGCCAAAGTGTGTTTCTTTGGCTCTGCTCAGGGTGTGTTTCTTTGGCTGGCCCTTTTTCCCTACAGTAGGGACAAGGGAAAACTGCAAATTAAGATGGCAGGAGATGTGGTTACAAAGAAGGCTGGGTAACTGGGTCTTCTTTAACCCTCTGTGCCCCCTATTCTAGTTGCGGTTATTTCCAATCTTGCTATCAGTCCCTTGAGTCTCGTCAATGTGCTTTATTTCCCCCTAAAACTAAGAATGAGAAGTTTCCTGCTTGTACCAGCAAATGTGGTAATAAAATAACGGCTCAGTGCTCTGACACAAAGCCTTACCTATTAATATTCAAGGCAGGTGATAAAGGTCTACTTATCAACTTCTGATTTATAAATAGAACCGATTTGTCCCCTGACACTGCTGTGTAACTTCACTCAATTTTCAGGAAAGATAGTGCTTCACTCCTAAACAAGAGAAATAATTATCACCATTTTTAAAGCTTTGGTTATACATTTTGCTTTTGCATATTAGTCATTTTCTACAAATGGGAGGATTTTAAATGGTTAGAATTTATAACCATAATAATCAGACAAGCAAGAACCAAAGTGTCATATCTACATTGTTCCTTTACTAAATACAAGAGACGTATAATATGAATGACAAAGAAAAAGAAATCCCTTTTGCATGATGAGTGATAACCACACCACGTATCATGTATTCATGTGTGTATCTCAATACTAATTGTGCTGAGCTCCAATGAGACCAAACGGTTTATTACTTTTCAGATTCAGCTCTCATTCTGCTGTTATGATTCTGGATTTTCCATACGAAAACTCTCATCTGTTTTAAAATTGGAAAAGCCAAGCTGGTTACCCTCTTCTGCATCTAGTAAACAGTTAGGCACATAATTACAGCATAGCTGCCCATTCTTCCAAGCAACAACAATGAAAGAATTGATATAGACATGTGTAGGTCAGGCCCTCTTCTAGGATGCTTGCTGAATCTTAGATCCAACAGTAACATCATTGAATGATTCCTTTCCCTTCTCCCTAGCTTCTATCTATAATATCCTAAATATACTAAACTCCATCTCCTAAATATTACTTGGCCAACCTTCTCTGTCTATTCAGAGTCTTAGTTCAGACTACCTGGGGAAAGAATGTATCTCCTATTTTTATCTGTTTGTATAAAATTCCATTGTTCTCTAATAATTATAAGGAATGAGAGACCTGGGTGAAACACAAATGTAGAGCTGGGCACAGTGGAATCCAACTGCAATCCCAACTGCCCAAGAAGCAGAGGCAAAAGGATCTCAAGGTCATGTACTGTTAAGTGAGTTCAAGGCAAGCAGAGTCAATTTGTGAGATCCTGTTTCAAAATAAAATTTAAAAAGGAGGAGTAGCAGGTTATGAGTAACAGGTTCATGTCTATAATTCCAGCAGGAAGATAAATGCTAGAGGAGCAGAAATCCGAGATCATCCTCAGCTACACAGTGAGTTCCTGGCCACACTGAGCTATGTGAAAAAGTATCCTCACCTGCATGCTCCAAAAATGCAGAGGACAAGGAATTTGTAGTTAAATAGTATAGCACATGTGAAAATCTCTGAGAGTTCAACACCCCCAGAATACACACATACACACACACACACACACACACACACACATCTAATTTTCTTCCTGTGTGAAATTCTACATTTTAATCTTATTTGTTACTACAACAGACTATCTGAAATAAGTAATTTTAAAAGAAAATATATTTATCTTGCTTTAGCTCTAAGAAGCTTGCAAATCCAATGCTTGCTGCTGGCATCTCTGCAGGTCCAGGTGAGTATCTCATCAGGGAAGGCCAGATAGGCACAATAAGAAAGGAAACAGGGATACCCACTTTTGGATAGCAGCTGACTCCTGTGAGAAAATCATTGATCCCTTTAAGACTCCTTCCCTGTGCCACAAATGTCTCCACATAGACCCACCTCTCAATATTGCCTCATTAAAGAATTAAGCCTCAACTTTCTGTAGTCCATTGTTCACACCAGCTGGCCTGATCTCATCTCCTTGTCCCTGAAACATTTCAGAATATAAGATTCTTCCCACACTTATATCTTGCAAGGCTTTGAATAGGGCTACCACTTAAACTTTGGTATTCTCATCTATTAGTCATGGAGGAGCTAATAAATAAACCTTTCTTTACAGTTAAACTACAGTAATGGTTACTTTTATAGAGTTCTCAAAATGTGTTAGGCACTATTTCCAATGCATCTATAGTACCTCGTTGGAACATTGGAAAAACTCTTGTTGGCAAATACTATCATTAGATACACATCATGGATGAAAAAGTGCCATACAGTGAATTAAGTAACTGGCCCAAAGTGACATGGTGAGTAGGTGGCATTGCTAAGCTTGTAACACAGACTGTCTGTTTCCAAAGTTCTTTAATTGCTTTTTGCTTTAGATTTGCTTCTCACGGTTGATGATGTCTCTAAAACACAGGCTTTTTTATTCAGCATAGGCTTTTCCACACAGTAAAAATTCAAGATTCTTAGTTTTAAAATGGAAATTAGTTCCCAAGTATCATGTCTGTATAGTACTGATCCTCCTACTACAGCCATCTCACTGCAGAACCCAGGAAAGTGGATATATGCTCTCCACCTGACAAAGACACTAGACTATGAATGAGGCAGGAGTGGAAGGAAAATCCCAAAGTAAAATCTTTGTTTGGGAAGAAGTCTGAGAGGGGAGCTAAAAATAGCTTGCTATAGGAAACAGCAAGACAAGACTGTCACCAAACAGGACAAAAGAGGCTGGCTGAGTCCTCATTAGACTAAGGAATGGTGAAAAGCAAGTTTTGATCTGCCTTGCAAGATATAAGTGTGGGAAGAATCTTATATTCTGAAATGTTTCAGGGACAAAGAGATGAGATCAGGCCAGCTGGTGTGAACAATGGACTACAGAAACTGCTGGGCAAATGTCTTACAAAACACAATGAGAGAGACAGAGACAGAGACAGAGACAGAGACAGAGAGACAGAGACAGAGGAACACAGAGAGACCTAATTGGGCTAAGAGATCTTGCTGCTCTTGAGAAAGACTGAGGTTCCATTTCTAACACACACAGGTGTCTCATAACTCACAGTAAATCCAGTTCCAGAGGATCTGATACCCTTTTATAGCCTCTATGAGCACCAGGCACTCCCATGGTACACAGACATCCATGAAAGCAAAATACACACACACACACACACACAAAATGAAGCTTTAATGTCATAAATAAATAACCTAATATGATTCAACAGTGCCATGGTGATTGAAGTTGAGATCTATCCACTAGGCTGGACCCCAAGATCATAACCATACCTTCTTGATTCACTGTACTTCCACGTCTGCCGGTGTGCACCATAAATTAGAGATCCTGCAGCTTTCTCCTACTTTGTCAACTCAATCCTCACCCAGGGATAACTGAAACCTACACAGAGTAAAGAGAATCCACTCTTAGTTTGAAATTTAAATTGAACTAGGCAGTCTGCATTGTATCAGTTAGCCTCAGTATCTATTGCAAGTAATTTTTAAGGTGGAGATGCTCCTTTGAAGTCAATTACATTTGTGCACTAGATCCTTCCTGGCACAAATAATCCCCATGGAGCCTTTTATCCCTTCATACAGTGTGAAAATACAGGACAACAAACAGACTAATTGAAGATGAGGATAGAAAGGGAAATGTTAGATCAGCTATGCTTCAAAGACCTGCGAACACTTACCATAAATGTATACAAATCCCTAAGAAAAACTTCAAATCAAATTCAATCCACCTCAACAAAGTAAAACATAAAAGATAAAAGATGGCATTAAGTGAAAAGCTACATAAACTTTTGTTAGCAAGGTGTCACAAGTCCTCAGATAAGCTCTATGAGTACCACTTTTACTGCCATTTTTCATAAACGTGTAATAGTGGTTATCTTCATATACTTTATCAGTTTTTGAAGAATTTTGTATAAAGCATTTAGATCATATTCACCCACTCACCCAAGATTTCTCAGATCACCCCTCCTGTGACACACTCAGCTTTATGGCCCGATTTTTTTTAAAAACCCATCAAGTTTAATTTCTGCTGCCCATGTATTCATGGGTGTGTGGCCTTTCTCTGTAATGTGGTTAGCTTACCAAGCCATGCTCATAGAGAAATATCTCTCTGCTCCCTCTCTATTTGTGTCTCTGTCTCTTTCAGTCTCTCTGTCTCTCTCTCTCTCTGTCTCTCTCTCTCTGCAACTATAGATGGTCAGTATCTCCTTTTCTAGGGGTTAGTACTCCAAGTCCACCTCCCCTGTCAATGTTGGGGTATGGTGTGGCTTGGGCTTGCACAGATGTTATGAATGTTATCATAACCACTGTGAGTTCGTGAATGCAACTCCCTTGCTGTATCTACAAGGTACTGTCTCCTTGCGTCATCCGCCACCTCTGTCTCGTACGCTCTTTCTTTCTCTTCTTCTACAGTAATCCCTGAGCCTTGGGAGGAGGGTATCATATATCTCATTTGGGCTGAGCATTCCAGTCTCTTATGCTCTGCCTGATGAAATGTAATAAGGAGAATAAGAGTCCCCAAATAAGTGTGGGGGGTTATGTGATCAGAACAGCATCGCATTGGCAGCTACTCCCTTAGCCCACAACTGTAGGATGTGCTCCAGCTGTGAAATCCCAGATCACAGATGTGTCAGTTAATTCTACCTAACCAAATGCAGTCATTGTCTTCTCAAGGCCCTTCGTCATCTTGAGATAACTTTGTATAAAAACTTAGTGTGCTAAGTAATCTCTGTAACTATGAAATCCCTATTGAGACTTACAGCCTCAGGACTCCTCCTCCTCTCTTCTCAAGGCCTTCAAGTCTCATGATAACCTCTGGTATGCTAAGTAATCTCTGTAGCCATGGGAACCCTGCGGACTGGGACTTGCAATCTCAGGACTCCCTGCTCCCCTTCTGTTTTTCTTTGAAAGTGCCTTGCTTTAGTGGCTCAGGGCTTCAACTCTCCCGACAGAGCTGAGCCCAGCTAGCTGGTTTTCCGGAAATAAATGGACCTTCTTGTACTTGCATTCGGTGTCGTTAAGCTCCTTGAAGCCTTGGGGTTCTCTCCTAGTGGGCACAGCCCAGCCCAGTTTTGGGGCTCTGTGTTAATTCTCATCTACTGTATATAGAAGCTTCTCTGATGAAGACTGAGAGCTACATTAATTCTCAATCAGAAGCATAGTTGGTAAAGAAAACTTACTATCTTTAAATCACAATTAACTTCATATTAGCATAAACAGTATTGAAGGCAAGATATTAATGTAAGTACAAGTATAGCTTTTGAAGTTGAGATTAGTTTTTACCTTACCGTTTCTGTATTTTCATGCACTTTTAGAAAACCCTCCCATATTTTTTATAATTGGGATAAATAATTCCTAACATAGTTATTTTGAAGGAAAGATGAATTGCTATCAAAAGTATATATACTCACTAGATAAGTAGAGTACTCAATAAATGATGCTTCTCTCTAGTAAATATATAATCATATACATTATGAGGCATGTATATACTGAAACGTTTTTGAGACTTGGCCTCCCTATGTATGATCTTGTTCTATATGTAGCCTGGTGGGCCTCCCACACAGAGATCTTCCTGCTTCTGTCTCCAGAATGTTGGCTTTAAAAACAAGTCAGTTGTCAGTTGTTGATCATATGGGTCACCTCACTGATCACCAAGAATCAGTGCCAGGACGAGTGCTAGAACAGATGGGGGCTGGGAGAGCTAATGAATGACTCTCAAAGCTAGTCTCCTTAGTAGTATTTGTAGACGCAGGGATGCACACAGTAACTGTAGACCACAGGACTGTCCATGCAAGGAAGAAATGATTCTGCCTTAGTAAGATAATCCATTCACTGTCTTCTGTCTCTAGTTACCTTTCATCCTAAGGCCTTGGTCACTAAGACTCTGTCACACACTGCTGTAGAGATCAGAAAGTTCAGGGGGGACCTGGTACAACACCCATCTCTGCATGAACATATCCAAAGCCATACCCACAGCTGAAGTCTTCCTTAAGAGCAAGAGACTATCACAATGCCCCATTGGCAATAAAATTAAGTTCAAGCGCAAATTGCTGTATTGCTTCCCTGTTAAGCTTCTCTTCCTGTGTGTATGATGTTGGTTGATGGCCACAGCATCCATCCTGTGAGGCACTTTCTTTCCTGTGTATAGGAGTTTTGCCTGCATGCACAACTGCACCACATGCATGCCGCTGACCCCAGCCATCCGATTCACTGGAACTGACTTTCCAGATGGTTACTGTGAGGTTTGCTTGACATGGTCCATATTAAGGCTTAATCAATCCTTTCTAAACTCAAACTGATCACCTTCCTCACAAGGGAAAACTCTCCAAATGATTCCCTTCTACTTCAATAAAAATGCCAGACTCTTAGACCTCGTCTGCTCGGCTCCCACCATGCCTGTCACAGTGCCTTAGATCACTCCCAGAAGTGGCCACCATCCTCCACAGACCTCTCTCCAAGCAGTGTATTGCAGTTCTGTGGCCATCTATCTACCCTTCAACTTCTTTAGTGTGAGAACTGGCTTGAAATGTAAGTGTGGTAGCAGTAATTACTTGAATAAAGGAATGTCAAATTTTTAGAATCACTGTGTATTAAAACATAAAATCTTAGCCAGGTAATGACTTACCTACTCTTTGTCTCAGTCCCATTATTTCTAAAATAATAGCTATATTTATACCACTAAGGCACAGACAAGATTAAGGAATGTTATACATGGGGATGGACAAGGAAATGCCATATTTCTGTTTTTCTTTTAATTGTGGTACTTTATAAATATATTGTACCGTTTCAAGGCTGGTTTGAAGAAAATTTCCCAGGATCCATTTAATTAGTGGAGAAGTCTTTGAAGTATCTTAGTGAACTTTCAGGACAGAAAGCTCTAAGTGCCAGCACCATCGGTGTCCTTAATTACACACCTAAGAAGTGGAGGAATCATGGGGGAGCCAGAAGCACCTCTCTGCCCGTTCTCCCACTCCATTTCCATAAGAGAGTACTCACACACAAGCAGTGTGCTAGGGGTGGAGATGAAGAAAATGATACAAGGTATTATAACAAAGTCCACTTTTAAATAATTATAACTTCAGTTAATTACACTGACATTTCTCAGCAAAGATTAAGTAAATCAGAAGGGGGTAAAAGCGATTGAGAAAATAAAAAGCAAGGGTTGGACTGCAAGAGCATCTCCTTTGTCTTTCCTTGAGGAGTGTAATTAAATTAAGTGGGATTGATTGAGTGTCAAACATCTGTGGGAGTCATTTCCTAACTTCATTAATGCTATTGTGCCTGGAGAAGGCACAGTGGTAATTTCTCTCACAAGGATCTAATGAGAGTCTAGTGATGTGATGGGAAAGCCTGACACAAGCCGCTGTGTGCTATGCTGCTGTCTGTCGGTGAGTGAGGGATTTATTAGAAATGCTGGCCTGGCAACAGCAGGGCTACATTATCCACATGGGAGTGGGACAGCGGGCCTCAGAGAGCTGGGTAATGGAGTCATAAAGTTGAGAGTTTAGACAGCCAGCATAAAGAAATAAAAATGGACCTGCTAAGGAGAACTAAATGGTCATAAAATAGATCATATATAATGAGGTGCAGCAGATAATGAGGTGCATTTATATGGAAAACACTAAATAAAAATTATGACCATTTCCTCTTTAACCCCATAACCATTGAGGCTTATCACTGCATCTGGATTTGCAAGGTAAACTGGGGAGAATGAATTAATTGGGAGGAAGCTACCTATATTGGACAGCTTCATGCATTATTATAATACTTTCAGATTGTACACTAGCACCCAGTAGAATACTTGGCACTGGACAGAGCATTATGAAAGATATATAATTCCTATTCTTTTTATAAAATTGTGATAAAATGCTCTAATACTGTTGCAGTTATAAAATAATTAAGTGGGAATAAATGTAAAGTTAGTCTTGTGTTATTCGTTTTATCATTGCAATTGGAAGTTTCCTGCTTGTAAGCTTTATCAGGTCACGCATTTATCAGTTAATGAGTAGTTACTCTGTCCTGGGACTCTTGGCCAATTCAAAGATACCGAATTGCATAAGGACAGTTTCTGCTTGGTTCAGACTCAGGCAGAAAACTTAAAAGAAATCATTAAAATACAAATGTATGTGTAAAACCTGATGTTCACACCAGCTCCCATGGGAACATAAAAGGCATAGATTCTGTTAGAAATCAGAACTATGAAAAATGAGTAGATATCAGCTTGTTTTGGAATGCCATCCTAGGTAAAGGAGAGGATAGGGCTACATGCTGAGATTTATAAAAGTAGCCAAGGCCATTGAAATGACTCAGCTGCTAAAGGTACTTGTCTCCAAGCCTGACAACCTGAGCTCAGTCCACAGCATCCACAAGGTAAAGGAAGAGAGTCAACT